TTCGTCCTCGATAAGATAGCAGTCTCACCCCCCCCGGACCGCTTCGGTCCACGCCCCGTCAATGCCAAGTTCAAGAGTTCTTCCTCTCCCCGACAAAAAAGGGTAAACAATATAAAACAATAGAGGGGGTGGAAATAAAGTCGACACATCTCCCCTCACGAGCTTCTTGGAGTTCCTTCCAGTCTATATAAATAAGAGGGAAAACTTTTTGCTTATTTTTACGTCTTCACATTGTTTTCTGCTGCTGTTTGCACTTTATTACATTTTGACAAACGAAAAGACATTCTCTCTTTGTATTATATTGTTACTTTTTTTTGGCAGCTACTGACATATGAATATGCTGTCTGGGGAGCCAGTTGATTGCCGCTTGGCCGAATTATGTTGCAAGAAATTGGGATGGTGCGAGGAGGTGGCAACAACAAGTGCCAAAATCGTAAAGTTAAAACGAGAACTTTTCTCCCAGGAAGAGCCGCCCAGGAAAGATGAGAAGTAAGTGTGTAGCACCGAAGCGAGTCAATAAAGTTTCTTAGCCCCATCTTCCGGTTCCGGTCTGTATTTAATTTTCAGGTTTATTTTCGGCTTTCGTCACTGGCATGGTGGAAATCAATAGCAGGCATTTATTATTCAGCGGCAAGCAAGAAGCTCGAAGTGAATTCAAGTACTCGCCTCCCTGGACTCCCCTCCTTGGGTTTATTTTTCATTTTTTGTATATCTGACACTCAAGGCCATCGCATCGCGCGGGCCAAGGTTGCCGCAAATTAAAATTATAAAAAGAAATCATGTATACGCATTAGGTATAAATAAATTCATACTTGGGCCGCGGGTACTTGGGCCTCTGAGCGTTTCTATTTCGAGTTCCCCAGTTCTCGAGGGCCGGACTCAAAGTCACGCGATTGTGGCACAAAGTCAAGTGCCTTGCACAAGCCAGAGCTCGCCTGACTTCTCGAGTGCGTTTTCCATTTAATTACTGTTTGTGCCGCCACCGGCCTCTTTTTCGCCTTGCCAGTAATTATATTCGCAACTCGCCCGAATCGGCTGAATGTCACATAATGGGGCCTGTCAGGGGTCTATTGATTGGTTGCCATTTTAAGATGTTTATTTTTGCCTTTTGCACGAAAGTAGGATGGGCTTTGCAACTTTTGGATACTTTTATTCAAGTATTTCCTGTACCACAGGGCGTATGCATAATTTCGAAAGCCAAGTGTTCTCTTCTTCAGTGCTTTTAATTTATTAGAATTATAATTAAACAGTACCTATGGTAATTTTCTATTTTAATTAGGTTTTTATTAAAACTCTTTTGACCACAAGGCGTATGAGTAATGTTACCAACAAATCAAGTACCCGCCCTGTTGTCAACTTTGGAATAGGCTTCCTACAGTCAAAACAATTCACACATAGGTCATAAAAATCAATAGATCTGAAAAGTAGATCAAAAATAAAAGTTTTGTTCACACGGCGTATGAGTAATTTAAAGAAAAATTAAGTAGCCGCCATGTGGAACGAAAAATACCATTACAAAATACTTTGTTGTCTAATCACGTTTGTCAGGTGAATTCGATGTGGCCACAAGTAGTTTATTAAGGAAGTGGCATTTCCCCAAGGCCTTACCCAAAGAAACCTCCACATGCCAGAGTAATTGACTTTGAAATAAGCTTCCTTTTCGCCCGAAGTACGGCAAGATGCATAATCCACTTACCCTGGACATTTGGGTAATCAAAGGTGGCCGTCGGAGCCGGGAATACATATTATTCGGAGTGGCTAAAGGCGCACAGACACTGGGCCCGGTCGTTATGAGGTTGGGGAACTGTAATATCCAAGCACATCCTTCCTGCTCCGCTGGGTTTCCCCCTTTCTGGCCCTCCCCAGGACTTGCATGTTGGCTAAGGAAAAGCGCCAGCGAATAGTTTCGGGCCGTTGGCTTCTTTATTTTTGCTTTTTTTTTTGTCATTTTCATTTTTGTGAATATGTATATTTTACTTTACGCTGGCGGGGCGGGAAAATTCGAGTCATGTGTGGCAGACATGCATAATTCAAAACGTGGCTGGCAAAATGTTTGTCCTGCAGAGTGTACATGTGTAGATGTGTGTGTGTGTGTTAGCCACTTTTTATGTTGGTAATTCGACTGCGGGGACATGTCGGAGTGCATCAGTTTGTACTGTGTGTGGGCTAACGCAATTTTCGTATGCACAGAAAAGGAAACTCTGGCAAAATGTCACCGCCTTCGCCTTCTGTGTGACATATTTTTCACACAACGTCTGCTTGTTAAATTGTTGGCGGCAATTTTGAGGTTAGCGTGACAAACACACGCGAAACAAGGACATGCAGCGAGTCCTTCGCAGTCGTCTCACACTTTCGAAATCCGTGCTTCGCTGTATCTGGCTAGGCTCATGCAATATTTAACTTTCTCGAGTGGCCTTTTCATTGCTATTGATTTTGCGTCTGCAATCGCATGTTCTATCCCTTGAGCCGAAACAAAATAATGCTTTTAAAATTGAAATTAAAACCCGAGTCGAGACATTTCCGTGTTGATCTTAGGGCATTCTTAATGCACTTCCACCGCCGTCTGACAGCATTCAGATATGTTGGCAAATATGCAAAGTTGGTTTATCTTTACCATTTTTCATAGGACGGCACGCGAAGAGGAAAAGGACGAGGCCCTGGGAGGCGAGGGATTGAGAATCGCTTGCATGTTTAGCACTTGACGGCTTAATGGCCAACAATTTGGGTTAAGACAAGAGGGAACGCCCATTCTGGACTCACTGGCCTGGCAGGACTGGCCTGGATTAAAGGATATAGTGTGAAGGGAGCTTAAAGAGGGACATTTCAATTATTGTGAGAGGTCTTAAAGGAAGTACAGCCAAAGAAGCCGAAAAATAAGGTGCTGCAACAGTCGTCCTGGGAATTTTCCTTCCAGAAACTCGAATAATTGTTGCAGCCATCATTTTGCCGTAAGTTGAAAATCTCATTTGCTCGCTCGAATTGTTTCAACTGCAACTGCTGTAATGCGATACATAAATAATTCTCCTGGAGCACACAACTAACAGTGGCAGTGAACAAAAGGGACAAGAGTCCACCCACCAGCCACACCCGTCCCGACCAATAGCCGTTGGCCAAAACAGGACAAACAACAGGGCCCAGGCGGGGCGAGAGGGGAAAAGGATTGAGCTCCCAGCTCAGCAAACATACAGCTGCCAAGAATTTATTGGCTGGACAATGACAACGACAAGGACCGAGAAGGACAATTATCATTGTAAACATTTTGCCAGGACTCCGCACACAGCAAAATGAGGAATGTGGCAAGGACGAGGGAGAGTAGCAAAGCGGTTTAAACTTGCCATTTTTTCGGTTTAGAATTCTCTATGTTCGACATATTTGTTTCATCAGTTAAGTCATAAGAGTTTGAAACATAAAAGGTCTTTAAAAGGGCTTTAGTTATTTCATTGAAAGTCGTAGTCATAGTGCCTTGGGTTGAAGTTATCCTTCAGCGGCAAGGGTGCATTAGTTGGGAAGTAATCGATATTTGGCAGGACTGCTTAGGGCCCTCTTTTCGCCAGCAGAGGTCGAAGAGGGCGCCGCGAATGGTTTACATTTGCGGGACTTATCAGTTTCCCAAATTGAAATGTTTGCACTCCGCTGGATCCGAATCTAAATCTGAGTATCTACGCGCTTCCTTCCGGTTTTGTTTGCCGTTTGCCGTGCGCCGTGTGTGTGCTCATCGAATTTACTTACTTGTTAAGGTAGCTACGTTAATGGCATTTTAGAAAGCCATGCGGTAGAGTGGGGCCTGGCACGGGTAGCTTCCACAGAAATCCCATCATCCGCCCTCTGGCGTGTGTCTCTCTAGCCGTTTTAATGCCAGGTTAGGTAAACACTTGCGAAATGAATTAACTTTAAGCCGCAAAATTTGTGCTCTTGTGTGTTTGGGCTTCTGCCCGGGCATACATAAATGCTCGTAATTGTTTATTTACATAACTTGACATAAGATTAAAGACGCTTTTGATTAACGATGCGAGCGACAGGCGGGACTCGAAATTAAATTGCACACATTAAATTGTTGACAGGACTTTGCCTTCGTTGAAATAGTTGAAATTCAATTTCAAACTCTCTGCCACTTCTAATAATTGACATTTGATTTTATGGGAAAAGTGGAGTTATTATGCCGAGAAAACCCAAGAAAACTACTTAACTCTAGTCAAATAAAACTGAAACGTAATTAAAAGCAAACTCTGCTGCAAAAAATAAACTCAACTTTAAGTTTTCTTTCTTTGGAAAAGTTTGCAGTCTTCGGCCAACGGAGCGTATGAGCAATATTAGACCAGAAGGAGCCAGAAAGGCAGTTCGTTTACGTAATTACCATTTGCATTATAGAGACGCAGAAGTTATTTATAATTCAGGCAGGAGGGCCGGCACTCTGGCCCGATTTCAATTAGTGTCAAATGCTCGGGAATAACACAATTTGCTGCTTCATCCATATTCATTCAGCCTTGGGCATTTATGTGCGGATTTGCGCGAAAAAATGCCAAAAAGTTAAGCAGGGCGGTGGGTCTGTCGCTCTGCGGTTGGCGGGAAGTTGGGCAAAAGCCGCCGTAAGCCATAATTTAATATATTGACACAAAGCTTTGTCGTAAGACGTGTCTTGGCACCATCATAATCCCCAATATTGTATATTGACAGCTGTCAAAGGAGCTTCAGTTCCTCGGCTTCCAGCTCCCAGCTCCTCCTTCCGAAAGCCAAGGAGCACGAAAAAAAGAAGTGAGGCAGCCCCAGACCCGAAAAGTAAGTTTTTGGCTTAATGCGCAACTATGCGGAAAATATTTGCGCTTAGTTGGAGGTCGTCAGCAGCATAGGAAAATGTAGTCATACGTGAGTGCGAGTCCTTCGAGGCGAAGTGGTACCCAGTCTGGGTCGGGGGCAGCCTTCAATTCGCAGAGATTACAGGGCCCGCGACAGGCAGGCTCTCCACCAAAGCTAATTTCATTTATTAAAGTAATTCCAGAACAGTTTGTATCCATTTTTTTTTTATTGATTTGAGATAGTGTAAACAATTTCTGTCGGCACTTCCCTGTATAAGTGTACTTTGTAAGCGTATCTGCCGAACTATGGATACAAAATTATAAAATATGCTTTCTACATATTGGCCCTACAAAAGGCTATTTATTACCGAATTTGGACATCTAATTTGGACTTGAGACTAAAAAGGATAGTCTATTTCTGTAGTGAGTATATGGGGGAAGTGCCATATTGCGTCGGTATGTGTCTGAACAATTCTTGTTGTAGAAATCGATTGAGTCCTTACGATAGGTTGCGGTATTCGTCCAGGAGTATTGTAGAAGGGTGCCGATCATCCCGGTCAAGTGACACGTCGTTGGAGGGGACAGCGGGACGTCGCTGGGGTACGTTAAGATTGTTGAGGCGGCTTCGCTTACGCACAGGGCTCTTGTGCATTACTCGGCCCATGGCATTGACCTCCGAGCTGGCCGATTCGGCTGGAGGAAGCTGCACCTGTGCGCGACTGGGAGTGCTGATGTCTGGCTGGAAGCCTCCACTTGGGATGTGTGTCTCCACTTCGGAGATTGAGGTCTGCCCAGAGACGAGGGGCATCGCTTCGGCTGTGAGTCCCTTGACACGATCCGCGTAGCGCAGTGTGTTCAGCGTGTGTTCTAACGAGTCCCAGCCTGGAGAGATCATGGCGATCATGACGGTTTTCATCCGTTTTCCCCCAATGAATGAGTCTCGCAAAACCTGAGTAAGCTTACAGCTTCTAAAGGGCAGGTGTGTTGCTGTTGGTCGCCCTAGGGCGCGAATACACTCCTTGAGCGCCAACAATGACTTGTTGATGTTCGCTCCTTCTAGTCTTGTCTGCCTGTCCGTGGAGCTGTTGTCGGCCCCTCGCTCGTTTCCGGCCAGGTCGATCAGGGAGAACTTGCCGTGTAGGCGGTTGTTCTGCGATGTGCGCAGGAGGATCTGGAAGACGGCGTGGGACCGGGAGGACTTGTCGTTGGCCGAGGTTGTGCCCGAGGTGCGGACACTATTGCCCAGCTCCAGTAAGGCCAGCACCTCGTTAGTGTTCGTCACGGGCTTCTCCTTGAGGCCCACCACATGGACTTGATGATGGCCATCCTCCAGTACTCGCAGGATGGGCTTCCCCGGCATGAGCAGGTCTCTGACCTTAGAGCCATAGATTTCATAAAAGCTGCACGACACCTTCAGCTGCAGGGCTGCATAGGGCGGCGTCGCGATCATAGTGAAGAAGTCTTTCGCGGCCATGGCGTAGATGCCGTCACTGGTATTCTGCTGCTTCTTATTGAACTTGCCGCCCATAGTGTGAGTCTTGCCGCTCCCGGTCTGCCCGTAGGCAAAGCATGTGGCCATACCGCCGTCGAAGACGTGCTGCACCAGCGGACGGGCCGTGTTCTGGTAGACCGTGCTATTGGTGCACTCTTCGTCAAAGACGTAATCAAATTTGAAGGTGTGGGGTTTCAGGTACTGCTCAAGGTCCAGATGACAACGCGGCTCGTGCACCAGAAGTGTTTCCTTGTTGGCCACACATACCACGTCGAGCTCACTCTGCTCCTTGCGGTTCAGGGGTCGCTTCCGGACACAGACCTGGATCTCATGCTGCTTTGACTCAGATGCATCCACTGGCTGGCTCCTTGCCTCCTGCTTCTTCTCCCGTATCAGTCTCTTTAACTTCAATTGGGGGGTTTCATAGAGGTCCCAATCGATCCCGCCGGCTACCTGGTTCACCACCGAACGGGGGCGAATTGAGGCCGTGTTATTGGCTTCATTCGCAGTAACCACCGTAGCCACCGTCTCCGAAGCAGCTGGACTGAAAATGGACGGATTGGTTTGCAAGAGTAGCGTGACCGGCACATTCTTTCCCAATATATCAGGAGTTTCATTCCAGTTCACGCAGACTGAATTTTTTTCAAAGTTCAGCTCTGTTATTTCCGCCAAATGGACTCTTCCGTCGGTGCGGCGGATATGCACACTCATGTTGATCTTCAGAAGATCCATTGGGTTCTCCACCGTATCCATTTTCGTCTAAAATCTTTTAGGCGCTTGTAAGGTCCTGCACCAGATTCAGCTTTGGCTCCTCTTGACTCCGACTCCTGCAACAAATTTGTTCGTGTGATTGTAAATTTTACCGAAATAAATTTTTTTTTTAACAGATTCTATAGATTTGTTTCAATTTTGTTCATATTTTTATGAAGTTTAGTTTAAAAATGATTGAGAGTTTGCCCAAAACTACACACAATGTTATACATGGCCGCCTAGGATGGCAAAAACTGATTTTTGGATCGATATTTTTTTGAAATTTTATATTTAGTTTCCCTATTGCTAAATAAACGATTTCATATATGGGATCTGGCGCTGCCTATGTCTTGTCCAGTATACATCTGATGCTTCAGCGGTACACCCTAAAATATTGCTAGATTAATTCCCCTTATGGTTCATATCTTTCGATGATCACATCTTGGCCAATTTCCATCCAAAGTACTATTAAAAATTCGCATATCTTATATCATTCAAATCTTTGGATGGATTTTTCTCAATTTTAGTAAAGTAACCTCTTGAAAAATCCAGGATTTTTATGTATTGGACCTGCCAATATGTATAACTCTGCCAAATGCCATCCGACCCTTGAGTAGAATTTTTTTTAGACTTCCTTGCACAAATTAGATGCAAGGACCGGAAATAAGCAAGTGAGTTCAGTTTGAAGGCTTCCCACTATCCTCCAGTGGTGTCACTTTTTTCTGAGCAAAAAAAGCTGGATCAACGAAAAAAAAAAGCTAAAAAAAGCGGAATACCAGAGAAAAAAAGTTAAGAAAAAAACTGATTTTTATAAGGCAATGTACTGCATGTTATTCACTAATAAGCCCTCAGTTCCACTTAACATAAAATATATGGGTTAATTATCTAACGGATATCATTACAAAGAAACCAAAAAAAAACAATAATGTACAAAAATTAAGATCTATATTATATTTAAGATGTCGTCAATATTATCATCATCATCAGTTGGATAAAATTTCTTGTCTTCAATTGTAGATAGGCAGCTGGGTGGTATATTATAGTTAAAACAGCACATATTGTGTCTACGCAGCCCGTACCTCAAATTTTAAGTAAATTAATTTATAATTTTAAGATACAAATTAAAATATGGACCTTATACTCAGTATAGCGTTTAACGTTTCAACGCTCATGTTATTTCGAATTTTCGTTTTTATTAAATGTACTTGGCTGAATAACCGCTCGACGTCGGCATTCGACCAAGGCAGGACTGCATTTGCAGAGCAACTGAAGCCAATTCCTGAAAACGGCAGTTTCCGCCAGAATCCCGATATTTAAGAACTTCAGCCCAGAACTTAACAGTATCATCGACATTTTCCCACTCTACCATGGTTATGTCGTTGTACAGTCGTTAAATTTTATCTATATTAGGAGTACCAAAATAATCAAGGATTGGAGAGATTTGTTTCTTTTTGAATGCATCAAAAAGTAAACAAAAAAAAAAAAAAAGCTGCGTAAATTTGCTCAAAAAGCCAGAATTCCCGCTGCCCGCTGTTTTCATATTTTTCCCGCAATCACGCTTCAAAAAAACCCAGATCTGACGGGAAAAAAGCGGAAATGACACCACTGCTATCCTCGCCAGGGTGATACCTATTTGAGCCTGGATAGTTTTGGCTGTTTGTCCAATTTGATGGCCAACAAGAGGCAACAACAAGCGAATCAGTAAACAAACACCATTCCGAGCCTCTCTCCCGACAGCCCTCCAGAACAAACACCAGTGTGTGCTCCAGGTATTTGCCGAGGTGGGTGGTCATAAAATGAACCATTCTTTTAGATGGCAATAGAGAGTGAAACGGCTATATTGGAAGTGACAGAGACGGCAAGTGAGGCGTGAGGGAGGAGGGCGGTAGTGGTACAGGTTGCAGATACGTTTGCATAAGCCGAGACGTGTGTAACGTACCAAATTGTTATTTATTTTTTGAAGTGCCTGCCCCACTGCCGAACGTACATATATGTGACTGTATCTGTATCCTTTCCTGGTTGTACAGATACATGGATACGTGCACTTGTTTCCAGTATTTGGCGGCGGTGTCTTGTTTGCCATTTGTCGTCACATTTTGCCAAATTTACCGTGTAATTATCGGGCTCGGGCTCCTTGAACTCCCCAGGTTCTATTTCCTTTTCGCAAAAAGAACCAGTCCTGGTCTCCGCCCGGTATGCAAATTTCCATGGCCTGGAGCTGAAATACATAACATATTTGTTTAACCGTATGCGGTGGGGATTTTCATTTCATTTTTGGAGACACCCGAGCTGCAGCTGCAACACAAACTGCACCTGCAACACGTAAGCTGCATATTTGCCTAAACCGAGCCTGAACTGAACTAATAGAGCGATTCGATTGCCGGATGCTGGATAAATCAGGATAGTCATTTTGCATCAAAAATGCAAAAGTCTTTCGCCTTTAAACACGTCCTATTTGGGGGATATTAGGGGAATACAAAACTACATCAGGTGTAATCACACGCCATTATTGTCGTTCGGCGGGGATTAAACGCTGTTTGGTAATGTAATCAATTGAATAATTTCGACATTTGAACTAATCCGTTTACACAATCCAGGCCACCCTCTAATTACCGCCTTTGTCATTCTGATTCAATTAGACCAGGAAAAAACAGGACTGTGTATGGAAACCCAGGACTAAATGAATTGCATGAATAATTTATTAAATAACAATTTTCAAATTGACTTTTAGGAACAGAAAACAGTTTGGGGTTGGTGTAGAAAGTTGACAAAATTGTCCAAAACGAAACATCAACGAGTAGCTTGTGATGGTTTTATGGCTTGAATAGGTTCATCGAATAAAATACTTTAGGATCTTCCGCATGGGGCCGAGCTTGCCCTCCTCCGGCTTGGGCTGGGGCAACTCGCACTTCCAGAAGATGTTATAAATCTGGCTGAACAGGTACTGAGCCTGGCCCTCCTGCGGCGGAACAGAGTCGCCAAGGCCTTCGGATTTGACCTCCTCCTTGCGACCTCCCCAACGTCCAGCGAACATCCAGATCAGCAAAAGCACAAAGACCGCGGCGATGAGGAGCCCAAAGTTGCGGTAGCGAGGGATGACCATCATCATTTTGAGCGGATACATGATGAGGGCCATTATACAGTTGTACCGTGAACTTTTGATATTGAAAAATAATAATTTACAAATTTATATTATTATTTTCACGTAAAATATGTGATGTATACAGCTTAGAGCCTGATAGTTCACTGAACTGGCACCCAGATCTCTCGACAGCTCCTCCAATGGTTGCTCCCATTTCCTCAATTTCGATTGGAAAGCACTTCTGCCCTAGGAACACAATGCTAGCTGGGTAGAAGAAAGAAAACTATCGGACTCGGCACAAAATAAATGTAGTAGGAAAACAATGAGTCGGAAAACCGGGTCCGGGACTCGACTTTCCATTCATTCGCATCCCGGCTCAAGTGGTTTCCGTTGTTTTGGCCTCCGATTCATCCAAAACAAGAGCCCGGAGCGTTGGTGCATTCACCCTCCTACCGAGGCCCTTGTGGCTCCTGCGAAAGGAACACTTGAACTGCATCAAGAAAAGACGGACGCACATTGCGAAGTGCATCGAGGGCTTTGTTTCGAGAGGGTTTTCTGCCGCATTTGTTGCACATGGCAACTATACTACATCCCAGACAAAGGGGAGCCCCATTCAGTAAAATAAAATTGTTTGTTGGTTATGTTTTAGAATCTGAATATGGTTTATTTAATGCTCATTACACTTATAACGCAAAAGGAAGAAACTTCAGAGCTGGAAGGTGTGGAGCGGATGGAAGCTGTGGGCAGGAAAAAGATATTATCATGTACTCGACTCGGCAGGTCCTTCTTACATGTCCTCCCGGGCCTTGATCAGGCACTCCACCAGCCGGCTTAGCGGATAGTCTCCAGTACAGATCTTGTAAACGGTTGTGAACAGCGGAAATCTACAAGAACGATGGGGTACTTTTACATTCAACACCTAAAGATACTTTATCCGGCAATTACTTGTCCTCCAGGCCCTTTTTCTTGAGCATGTGATGCACCAGCTCGGCTGTGACAGGTCCCAAGGGCTCGTGTCCTGGTATAAGAATGTGCTCCAGCTCGCTGAGGGGCTTCCCTGTTTTGACAAATGCCTCGGCCAGCTTGCGGTTGCGGTTTGCTTTGAAATATATATTGTTTAATAATAGAAATACGTGAAGTTCCATCTACTTTACCATAACAGCTAGTGACCAAGTCCGAAATGCCACAGGCCTCGAAAAAAGTGCCCATACGGCAGCCCGGATAAAAGACGTCCACAAACTGAAGCATTTCAAGGAAGCCGCGTCGAATGATGCCGGCCTTGGTGTTCTCGTTGAGTTGCATCCCGTCGGAGCAGCCAGCGGCAAAGGCTATGATATTCTTTAAAAGGGTAATATTTTTGCTTAGATAGTATTAGCCAACTGTTAAGCTACTAACCCTCAGAGTGGAGCATATCTCCACACAATCCGCATCTTCAGTGACCACCACCCGGAAAGTTGGCGACCTGAAGATGTCGTGCAGCACTCGGAAGTACTTTTGATCCCGACAGCCCACAGTTCCCTCGGCGAAGTGGTCGTTGGCTATTTCATGGGCCAGGTTGCAGCCTACGAGAACCGAACAGGGGATCTTTAAGGGGCGTAAGAAGGTCAAAAATAGCCAAAGCATATCAAAAGAGGTATACCTTCAACTGCCTCATGATTATCTGGGAGATCAGGATGAACTGACCGTCGTCGCCGCGCTCGAATCCTTTGATGAGAGACACGGCGTGGGCCGTGGGCTTGACCTTTCCGAGCAGGGTCTTGCAGCAACTGCTGACAAAGGTGGGCGGAATGGCAAAGATTATAATGTCCGCGTCCCTGGCCGTTGTCACAATGTCGTCCACGGCCACCTGTTTGGGAGATCCAGAACATAAAGTACCATATTTCTGCCTCAAGATGGACCTACAATGTTTGGCGGCAGCTCGAAGTTCGGCATGTACTTGACGTTTATGTGGGTGGTGTTGATGGTCTCCGTGAGCTTCCGGCCCTCGACAATTTCTTCGTACACGTACATGAATACCTTCTCGTCCAGAATCGAGGAGTTGGCCACGTTCCTGCCCACATTGCGGGCAATGGTGGTGGCCCAGTTGCCCGACCCTATGATGCAAACCATAATCTTGTCCATCCTGGCGGCTAATTAATGAATCGAGTTCTGTTTGGTGTCTAGTTCGGTGTATGTTTGTAATTAAAGTGACTTTTGGCTCCAGGGTGGGCGAGTGTTAATCCAATTCAGCTAATTGTGGCAAATTAGAGCCATTGTGATTTATTAACTGCCTAGTTGGCATTTAAAAAGTTGCCGTGGAAGGCTTTTTCCAGCCCATGTTGACTCGCCGGTTAACCTTTAATATAAATGAGACTGCAAACACACAACTCTGGATCAATACACAGGCCTATGCGAATATTTACTGGCACATATTGATGGAGTGCTGGTTAAACAATTCATCAGCGGAGCCGAATCGGCGGGATAAAAATTACGTATACGTCACGTTCGCCAAACTGGCCGTGCAAATAATTAACTGTGGAAGCCGTCCTCCCTCCCGAGACACGGATTCATTCATGTTTACGGCAATAATATATATGCATACTATATTAAGTGAGGGGGAAATGCATAATTTTCGTATTTATTTTTTAATTAGGCAACTGTGCAGCGGCGGAGTGGTCGGCGATTTAAATAAAATATTTAAAAGGCGGCCAGGACTGAGGACGAAGGTTAAAGCGAAATCCATGTGCAAGAAAGTAAACACTTTGAAACTGTGCGACTTCGTTCCGATCGAAACGAGCCATGCAATCCCAAATCCCAACCAAACCAAACCCAACCAGACCACCCAACCCAATCCACTCGACTATGAAATCAAAATGGATGATGGGCGAAATGAAAATGGAATTTTTAATGAGTTGCTGTCGAGGCGAAAGGCCAAACGAACAATGGCGGGAAGACAAAACGACAGGAACGAGGGCCAAGGACCAAGGCCGCTGCTGGTCAGCTGCTTTAAACGACATGGCAGGGCCTTAGGTGCCACTACGTATAATATTTTTAATTTCTGAGTTATTTTTAGAGGTTCGAGGGATTTCTTTGGGAACTAGATCCCGAAACACTTGCAAAAATAACCTGTAACATTATTTATTTTGTACTCCGTTCGGGGACCGAATAAATTATTCCCAAACTGCTTCTCTAGCTCCTCGTCCAACATTAATTTCAGTTTTTATTATTTTATGCTCTCTGGTCCCTGTCTTTTTTCTCCATCCTGCCTCAGCCGTAAAGTAAACTTAACTCGGGCAGTTGCCCGGAATCGTCGTAGGGATACGCACATAAAGTTTCAACACGATTTTTTTATGCGTTTGCACCTTCAGCAGGCGCTTGCCACCAACTCCCAACTCGCTCTGTGGCAGTTACTCATATGATTTTGTGGCTACAAAGTTGAATCGTAAATAAAATTATTCCGTGTTTTGTTGGCTGCAACGTGATTGTCGAGGCGGGAGTCTGGGACTTCGAAACTTTCACTTTCTTCTGGCTGTTACTTTCGGGAAACTTTTTAATCCTGAGATAAACTAATTAGCAGGATGAGGGGGAGGATATGCAGAGGAAATCTATGGTATTACATATATGGCAAATGTGAGTGCCTGAAAGTTTACTTTTCATGAAACAAGAAAATAAAGGTGTGGAGTTTTGCCAGGCATTAGATAGTCTTCCTGAAGAAGTGGCACTAGGCCTCGACAGACCTCTTTAAAGGGCGTTACGCTCCAGGAAAGTTTATTTTCGCCTCTCAGCTCCAAAGTTTTGCTGGATTCAAGTGGAAATCAGATAGAGGTGCGGACTCAAAGCAGCTCTAGAGTTGGGATTCCAGAGTTGGGAAAGTGACGGAGCAGCCTCCGCGAAAAGGGCCTTAGATTGCGTGCGAAATGCAAGCCAACGTGGTGGATAGTCATGGAGGGGATGGGACCCAAGGAAATCGAGATAGAATACTCACAATATTTACTTTTAATTGGAGAAGTTCAAAGAATAAACAAATATCAGGGGCTGGGCAGTTGCGGAACAAAACTTTTTTGTCCTAGACACTGAAAAAAAAGAGGCAAACAAATAAAAACGTTAATTGCAAAAGAATGCGATAAAATGGGAATGCTCACCATTCCTCCCTAAAGGCTTATGATTAATTATATTAACATTTTTTCTGAATCTGCCATATTGATGGGCGAAATTCGGCTTTAATCCGCCATTCGAGTTCATTAAGCTCCTTAAATGCGAGCCAAAGCCGAATTAATATTCCAAACAACATTTGCCGCATTTTGTTGCCATTCCATTTGCACTCGTCTGACAGCCGGCCCGAAACTTGGGCAAAAGTTCAAAGCAGCCGGGTCAGGGGGCAAGGGCAGAGGGCGTCTGCAGTTTGCTTTTAATGTTCTCTGTGGCGCTTCTTTTTTCTTTTTCTCATTTTTTTAGGAGGTTCTTCTAAATGGTAATTAAAATATGCCCAGATGGTGTCTGGATGAGCTGTCGGAATTTCGTCCCTCCTCACTGTCAGGACGGGGATTCTCGAGGTCACTTGCAATCAGAGAGTAGATGCTTCAGTAAGTGTAAAGAGGTCATTCTCGATTGCTACTTTTTCCAGTGACCAGTACTTTGATTTTCCCCTAGTTAAAAAAAAGTCTATAAATTTTTAATGGCCTTTAACAGTTTTTTCGAATTGCTCAACTGACCACTAAAGTGGTCGCCAAGTCATTTGCTTCAGATTCAAAAATGATTTGTTTTGCGCCTAACACAGTCTTATACCTTCCTTCTTGTACTGATTCTTTTAAGAATTTTAATGAAATAATATAAAATGAATAATATAATAATAATTTTTTGGAAATAATTTTCTTGGAAGCCTAATTATATTTTCATTAATCGCCTTATAAAATTGTTTTGGAAAAAAACTTAATGCTTTTTGATGTTGCTACTTCATCTTTCACTTTAAAATAAAAAAAAAACTTTAATCTCTATTTAATATATCATTTGTCTATATGTTGTATATATAAATATATATTTACTTATAGAATTTTAATGGATTCCATATAATATTATGCATTTTTTGCCGGATTATGGATGTAAGGGTAAAGTATTTTTTTGTGCAAAAACATTACTAAATGGAATGGAATTAAGTACACATAAAAATATTGTATGAAAAAGAGAAAGTAAAGTAACACGTTAGTGGATTTAGTTTTTTTAATTTTAAAAATATAGAGAAGGACTTAAATCATCAAGAAATGTTAAAATTTTTTAATGAAGCTAATTAATGTGTGTGTAGTTTTCGGGCTTTATCCCACCCTAGATTCCTCTTAATTTTTACTATAAAATTCTCAAAGTCTGAGCCGGCTCCTACTAGCAATTTCATTCATAATTCCTTGCCGCAAACGCTCCACACAATGAATTTACCTTAGCTGTTGGAGGGGAAAATACGGAAGAGGGTGAGGGGGTTAGGGGGTGAGCTTTATCGCAGGTAAGGGGAGCAGGTGGGGAGACTGTAAACTGTGTCAACGCAGCCATTTTACTTGCCCCCTCCCCGCTATCCCAACGCCATTCTGCTCTTTTTTTCCGTGTCTCCACCATTTTTGCGCCGCGTGATGGCAACGTAAATAGCGCCACTCGCCCCACGCTCAGCGCTCCCCACTCTGTTCTCATTTCGCCGTTTACCGCTACCCAGGCAACAGCCGCCAGTCGCTCATAAATGTAAACTTTTTCGGCTAGTTACATGTAATTATGCCATTTTGCTGGCAGGAGAGATGAGAGGACTTTTGACGAGGGGTCCTTTCTCCTCTCCAGCCTGGCTGGGATGGGCTGGGATGAAAATCATCCTGGCGGGACGGCGAGGCGATGCCTTTCACTTGATTGCCAATTTAATCGGCTCGCAATTTTCCGCCCTGGCGCCATGATTAGTGGGCGTGCAGGGGAGAATCCTTCAGAGCGGATTTCTTAGCAAAACAGAAAAAAAATATCTTATACATATATCTTTAAAAATATTTGGTTACTTTTGGAGACCAAATTAAATATGGTACTATATATATTAGTATAGTATAGATTTTTTCTCAGTGCAGCGAATGGTGAGCTTTATATTTATTTACACTCCCCCCTCCTCTCTTAAACCTTCTGACATTGACATGTGTGGGAGTGTGAGTTTGGCGGGCTCACTGACACACCCACACAATTCAAATACGTGCCATGCATATGTGGGGAATATGGCCCTTACATACATACATACGTACACTGAGTGCAGTTAATCTTCGCCTAAGCCATGTGTGTCTGCCAATATTGCAAATGGTCATGCAGATGAAGGGTTTTTTGTTCCTTCGAAGGGCGTTGGGCAGTGACAATTGTGGGGCACTATGCCATTAATATGCAGGACTTTTTTGTGGCTAAACATGAAAGCATAAAAACAATTCCCGAACAACACCTATTTTAATGGAAATTAAAATTTGATGGTTTATCGCAAATATGCGTGTTTTTCTGGCATCTAAAATGTTTTTCGTTCAGAATCATGTCAATTACTAAAATGTAAATACTATTTGTTGCAATACACTTACAGGATAATGTTGCATAAAGAGTTTCCACAACAGAAAGGGAATCAAATGCGCGACAACTGTATCAAGTCCTTTTTGCCTTTAAGGACGTGTGCTTGTTGCACACACACACTGTTTTCTATCGCTGTTTGCTGAGTTCACATGAAGTCACTTGTTAAATTGTTGGTGGCGTCTCTGAGGTCTGCATACTGCTGCTACCTCTGTCTAACCATTTTTTTTTTGCCCCGGACCATAGCTCAGGTGGTTCTGGCGGTTTTTTGGCTTTTCTCTGCCTTCCTTTGTTCTTGGCCGCCCAGGAAATGGACTTTAAATATTTCTGCACTGAATTTATCCAAGCCAGCGTGTGGGCGTTCGCACATTCACGGCCAGGTGTACAAGATTTATGACGGCCAGCCAGAGCCCGAGACAGGTGCAGTCGTAACTGAGATGTTGTTCGTCGGTGTTTGGTGGGGTTTCCAAAATTAAACATTCTGTCAAATAGAAGGTCATTCATTGGCTATTTTTAGCACGTCTTCGTTGGGTTAGGAGACCCTTTTGTACATCTAACAATGTCATAAAGGCCATAATTCATGTTTTGTGGTCGATTTGGCTCCGCTTGTGTGGGCATTCACATTTTTTTGAATTTCATAGCATACTTTTTAGGGCGAGACAGGCCAACTATTTATTTTTATTTGTACCCCAATCCCAATGCCATTATGTAAAGTATTTATGCGTTTAATTTACGCTCCGAAAACTGCTGAATACTATTCGGGACAAGGCGATTTGGCGGAATTTGATTAAACTTTCTGCATATTTCACCCAAAACGGGAAAATGTATATAAAAGTTGAGCAATTTTAAGTTGCTTGGCTTTCTTTTCTTCATTTCTTTCCACTCTGTGTTTTAGTTATGTATGGCTATGAATTTATAACGAAAAGTTTTGCATTTTGCAAATCATTTTTAACACCTGCGGCAGGGTTAAAGTTCAGTCAGCGGAAAACTTTGCAAATTAGAGTCCTGCGCTGACTCGACCTCCCATCGCCGCCGCTTCATATATTTATATTTCGCTCAGCGCAGATTTCATTTAAAACAAGTTAACCTCTTAATGGTGCAATGATGAAGAACGAGCCGTTGTAGCAAAAAATTTATTCCAGCCATGACAGTCAGAGTGGTGGTTGTGTGGGAGGAGGTTATCTGTGGTATCCGGTAAAAATCCGCTACAATGCGTAAACACATAGTTCCATCCGAGCTGCTGACCAAACGCAACCGTCAAGATTTATGGCCAACTAATCGACACAGGCAGTCCCATAAATCTAGCCGGGGTTCGAATGTCAAACGGCCAAAAGGCCAAAGAAGGTGAGCTCCTTGGCCGACGAGGCAAATTAAAGTTCAGACCCAATAAATGTTAATCGGTTGCCCTTTGTCAACTAGACTGTTCTAGACTTTGTGGCTTATTGTTTTCTTTGCTGGACTAATTTGCTTTATTAACTAATTTGTTGAATAAATATTAGAGTAAAACTAGTAATTCATTTTGAGAAGACTTAGCTTCATTTTTGGTGATGAACTAATTTCGTGATTGATCTTACCTTGATTTTGTAATTTAATAATGTCTCGTTCTTTAAATTAATAATCCCTTGAAAAGTCCTCTTGAAACTAAAGAAAACGTTTCCATTTGTTGGTGTGTTTCCTTTCATTTATTTAAACTGCTCCGGGCAGGTGCCATTGATGGCCGAAGGTTGTGGAATTTATGGCCAATAAATTAAAAAACTTTTACACGCTCCAGGCGATGCGAACACGAAAACGATTGTACACTTGTACATACACTCGTGCCGTGAAAGACATTTTGGCAACATTAATTGAAAACACCAAACTGCGAGCTCCGAACACGAGCAAGTGTGGCTGAGAATATCAAAGGTAATTACAAATGCCGTTAACAGCCGCCAAATGGTGGCCAAGAACAAAGCAACAAAGGCCCGAAACGAAAAGACAGAGCATTCGGGGCTCATCTCATTATTTAGTTAATTATATGTTTGTGTGCCGGCAATTACAACTCGGATTTCATTGTTGGCCAAACCATTTGCGGCCTACTCGGCTGCCATCAATGCGGATGATGATGTCCATGAACGACTGGCGCCGCCAAAGGGCAGCCTGCGGAGGCGTCTTGGCCCTGCTTGCCGCACCGCAAACTTCTAATTAATTTGAAAGGAAACATTTGAAGCGCCTTGTGTTGTGGTTTCAGTTTCCTATTCCGACCGCAGCCTCGCACACAAACCTTTCACATATGGGTCCAGGCATTCAAATGCCTAGCTTTTAACAAAGCTGATTAGGAAGTCGGGCCATTAAATGAAAGAGTGAAGAAGCAGTGGTCTCTATACTTCATGCTGACTTTAATTGGTCAGCTCTTCTCGGGCGTAAAATGTCTCTAAAAAACTGGCTGAGAGTTGGCCAACTTTTCGGCTCTTAACACATTTAATTAGCCAGCGGAATAAACGGATGCTGCACACAATGCATTAGCCGGAGCAGAAAGTGAAATTGTTCGAGATGCAAGTTTAGTTTAGTTATCCATTTCAGTTCAGTTACATCATTCGTCCACCAACTTGCTCTGATAATGTTTGTAAATCGGCTTGAGAGCTTACCCGAAACCGGCAGGGTTTGGGCCAAAAAGGCAACAATAGATGGAAAGTTTGTGCTGCCCTGCCGAATGTTTCAGCCATTTGGTTGAAAAGTTTTAATAAGCTTAAACAAGAGTGCTACAATTTTTGAAAGTTTTTTTCATTTAGTTTCGGTTGTCCTTGTCTCTGGCATTGATGTGGGTACTGCACTTTTTAATAAAATAGTGTGGCTAGAATCTAGCGACCCAATTAGCTTAAATCTCGGTTTAAATCTTACCTGTAACTCACCTTTAACTACCGAGGCTGGAGATGACATGTCGGCCGCAGAATAAACGAAAGCCGTCTCAAAGGTCAGGGGGCACAATCAACATAAGTAATTAACTGGGCCGGAGTGATAAAGAGCCCGGCCCGTGGCAGTACAAGTTGCCATTCAAGTCCACGACAACGACTCGTCATTAGCGACCAAAAATGCTGCACTTTGTTGTGGACTTGATGAATATGGTTAATTTCGGGTATATAATATTGTGTATATACGTCCGTGGAGGCTGCGAAATATGTATTTGTCCCCAAGCGACACTGACAGCGCCTGACCAAGACACATTTTTCGTTTGTCCTCTAATTGCATATCTGAGGACGGTGATTATTATGATGATGATGATGTCGGGCCAGCCGTACGGCCATACAGCCATACAGGCACACGGCCGTACAATTACCAGAGTCTCCTGCTGGGCGAGACTCTGTTTTGATGTCGTGGCCAGAATGAGATCCTACGGACTTTGGCAATGCCGGTTTCAGTGTCTAATTAAAAGCAACAGCAACTGGCCCCTTAATTTATGCTCGTTCAGGGACAGGTTCCGAGAGCGCCCTCACCCCACCACAGCCCACCCACTCGTGTCCTGGCTAAATGTTTTTCGAGCTCGTGTTCTCCCCGAATGCTTAATGTTTTGCGTTGAAAACTTTACGGCATAAATCCTAGACATGGATCGTAATTCGCAGCTGTGCCTGCAGGTAATGGAGGACTTAAAACGTGGTATTTTCATAAAGATAACTCTCAAGCCCGAAACCAAGCAACCCGATCCTGGCCTGTGACAGTCATGAGTTCTCAGAACTCTATAAACACTCTACACACGGAGCACAGAAATTGGAAATCATACACGTTCAAATTATCCAAATTGTTTGTGTAAGTTAATTCTAAAAAAATTTGTTCCTCCGGCTTCGACAAAGGCTTTGGAAAGTCAAGAACATGGCGGATCCGGATCTCAGTCAAGAAATCACAATCCAGCCACCTTCTCCGTCCAGCACTTACAACTTGGACAACGAGCGCCTGGATTGCGACAACTTGGGTAACTTAGCCCACAGAAGCATGTCTTTCCACATTAAATATCTATTTTTCCCTCAGAGGATATGACCGATAAATGGATGGACCCGAACCGGCCCTCGTTCTTTACCGTCCTCTTGCGTTTCTTTGGCAATATTTTCGGTAAACCGAAGCTTGTCCTCAAGTCTCCAAGTACCCTATAGTATCCTTTCTTTTTTTCTAGTGGACGTATTTAATACAATTTTCGATTAACACTTCTTGTACCCCTTGAGCTATCTGTGGAAAAGTCCCAATGCAATAAATGTTTTCCTAAATAATTACAATAGATCTGGATATGTTTTTGATTTTTGGAGACTCAGTACTCCAACCCCCACTTCCCAAAGTCTGTTCTTGGGATCTGTTTGGATCTAATGTTTTATTACATTTCGAATTTAGGTCTCAGGTGCAGTAGATCTGATCAAAGGCCGGTATTCGGCAGTAGCAGGTGCAGTCCTCAAACTCTCGCACAAAACCCGAAATATCGTTTATGAAACTCTGCAAGTTTTCGGGATTCCTGAAGATGTTCTTGTCCACGGTGACGTGGTTATCCGCCAGGAACTTCCACTTCCGCATGCTGGCAATCACGTCGCCGCAAAAGTCGCGTTTGTGATTCTCCAGCGACTTTTTTATTTGGCTTATCAGCTTTTTCTTCTTCCCTGAAAAGAAACACAAGGTTTGACCTGGTTTCTGGTTAGATTTAGAAAGGAAAACCCACTCTGAGCCTTTCGCTTCTGAACCAAGGCGGCGTGCGCCTCCTTCTGCGAGGCATCGTACATCTCGATGATCTTGTACATGCGCTTATCGATGTCCTTGCTGAGGGTCAGGGCCGCCTCGCACTTGGGCGAGCACCGGCTCCAGTAGTTGGGGCCCGGGAACGGGAAGCGGGTGTAGTGGCCTTCCTTCATAAACTGCTTCCGATCCTCCTCGATCTTGGCCAGCGTTGCCTCCCTCTGGGACACCGCCTTGCCATTGTAATAGCGAAAGTGCAGGCTGGCCATCAGCTTCTCCACCCGGGACAGGCAGCTACCGAAAAAAGGATTGAGTTTTTTGGGAAAAGTTTAAAGCAGAAGGGAAACCCACTTGGAGTTCTTCAGCGAGTATACGCCGGGAATGGCGTAGGTGCGCAGAAGGTGGTGCAGTTTGAAGGCGACGCAGTTGAGGAGATCCTCGGCGGCGCAAACCTGCATGGTTGTAAGGCTGCCCATGTCGTGGATCATCTGGCGAACACGGTGTCCTCGGTACAGAGCCTGTATCTTTGTGGCCGCCCGGTCGAAGTGGTCCAGCACCTGCTGCTGCAGCTTGTCCTCCACGAACTTGAAGAAGTTCTTTCGGGCGGCATAGCCCCGCCAGTGTTTCTGAATCATGGTGGCCGCCTTGTTCTCCCGGTTGTACTTTGTCCACCACCGAAACTTGCGCCACTTTCGCTGAATTGCGCGGGCAGCCAGGAACTGCTTGTAGTCCCATACCACCATAAAAGTGCTGCGATGGGTGGAGGCTGTACTGAGAAAGTTCCTGGAAAAGGTAGTGCTACGTGCTTACCGTGACACGACCCGCCTGCAGCACGATCCCATACTGGTACCATCTTCTAAAAGCCCAGAATAGTCGCTACTGCAATGATAAAAAGGTTAACAATACGTTCCTACTTCTGGGAGAAATAATCCCACTATTGGTCATCGTTCTTGGGAAGTGTGTGTCGGCGGGTGCGGCATACGTTCTTAATATAGTCCGAAAACATCCCGCCTTTGACTGAGTATTTTTCGCGGTGTAAGTCCAAAAGTCTTGTTCGCTAATTTCATTAAAATAAGTGTTTCTTTGTGGTGAAGTAACATCAAGTATAACAAGTGTGAGGAGGCTGTCGTGTGTTCGTGTTTGTGACTGACATCTCGAAGGGAAATCGATAGAAAGGCGACTATGCATGCGGCCTGGCTATAATTTATGGCCTAAAGCGATTATTTCCGAATAAATCTTCCCTGCCGGGTCTCCATTCAGGCGACATATTTTATTTCGCCTCCATATCAGCATGTTCCCGCGCTTATCGCATCGGGAGCCACACAGATTTATGTGTCCTTGCTTAGGGATGAGGTTTATTTTTCTCCACCAGAGGTTCCTGCGGCCACATAAATATTCCAGGTCTTCCTCGGATGGGGCAGCTTTAATTGAATTGCATGACGACTGTGGACCAAGACTACTCCGCTTCTAGGTGACCCATATTGCTGATTCCCATTTATGATGCCCTTGGCTGCAGCGGCTCCTAATTTTGTTCTAATGCTGACAAATGGCCGAGGTCAAGTTGCCATAAATTCGGCACACAGAACGCCATTAGGTCGGGCTGCCGACTGCCTGCTCTGCTGGCACTTTAAACGAAAATCAATACCGAGAGCCACGACATTTTCCCTGCTCATTATGTGCCACAAATGAACCGCCACACACAAACCAGCGGGCGGAAATGAAACGGAAATTCTCATTTATGGCGCCCTTGACGCCATTTCCAGTTGGCCGCTATCTATCTGGCCCTGACAAGTTGGCACTGTTCGCCGCTCGCTGCTCACTGCCGCTGATTTCTGATGCAGATTGAGATTGCAGGCTCTGATTGCAGGCGCCAGCAGCCCGGGATTTATGGGCTACCCTAGTTGCTGACTCAAAGTCCACTAACCGATATCCAAACTGGGACGGAAAGTGCGGGAAAATGGCTCTCGGAACAAGGTTAGTCATTATAATACTTTTTTCCTGCATCCTTCGCCATATTGGCCCAAATGAGAACTCTATTTTGCGGTTTCTCAGAGTGGTTTCACTTCCCTTGTCCATTCCGGAGATGCTGTAAATTAGTTTCCACACCTGACTGGTTAGGGCTCTGGCTAGCATGCTGTTTGATCCCTCGAAGGGATGCCATCCCCTCGAAATGTGCTTCTTAATTGTCCTCCAATCGGATTCGGGTGTCTAGACAACAAAGTGTCCTTGGGGCTCGGGGCAAATACAAACAGAGAAAGGTTCCCTGGGTTTATGATGCACACAGAAGTAGGTGGCCCAAATCTAATTTGAAAAGTACTAACCCGTAACGAAGCAATGGCCATATATCAAAGGAGTCTCCTGGAAAGGCACCCAAAAAAAACAGCTGGCAAGGAATTTACGAGCCAACACCCACATCTTAGCCATAAAATGGGACCTCAAACTTTTAGTTGGCTTTGAAAATAATTTCGTTCTCAAGTCCAACTGGAAGGGAAGAGGGCCTAGCATTTGCCGTCGTTCATTCGATCTGAGTACTGAAAGCATACGATAGCCCCCACTCGGATGCTGGAGCCCACCAGAAATGTTATATTTTTCGAATTTCTAATAAAAAGTCTGGATATATTTTTTTACTAAAAAGCCCAAAACCCAAAAAGCCAAGCAGGCCGGTGCTAGAACGTAAGTGCAGAAGTCCTAAAGTCGGAGAGTCATTAGCTTGACAAACTCCACACTCGACAGTAAATTACAGCAGCACATCCTGGATAGAAAAAGGAACCGAGTCGCCCGCTTGATAAAAAATATATATTTTTTTCGAAACATAAAATCCTAAAATAGTTCGACTTTTGTACCGAGCAGAAGCAACTCCCCACATCGACCATATATGGAACATATTAAGCTGGGCGAGAGGCTCAACATCCCGAGGAGCGACGGACGCGTGCACCCGGCCGTCTGCACGGCCAAGAACCTGGGGCTGGACTCGATCACGGGCGAGTGGACAGAGGGATTCAGTGTTAAGGAGAAGCAGGTGCCCATTCGCGAGCTAATCGAGTTCAACCAACAGATCTTCCAGACCGAGAACTGCGATCCGGGTCGGTTCATGCCGACATCGAGCACAGACATGGCCTCGAGTCCCAGGCCGACTGCGTCGGGCTCCTTGATTCCGCGACCGCGCGATGGCAGTCCGACGGAGGTGCCGCCGGACTCCTATCGCAGGTCCCCGACCGGAAATCCGTATACTGAGCGCTCGCGGATCGTGGATCTCCGGGCATCGTCCAGCAAGATCGCTACTCGCAGCAGCCTGCCGTCCCCGCCGGGTCGCCGCTTGATGAATGGTTCGTCGACGGCGCGGGGACGGCCCTCGGCTGGAAGTGGTGGAGGAGCGTCGCCGACTGGGGGTAGCGGAGGAGCCTCCACTGCCCGGGCCTCGCTGTCCCGCAACACCAACGACGGCTGCAACCCTCAGTCTCAACAGGCTCAGTCGAAGTCCAACATACGCTGCTCCAGTGTCGTCCGAGAAGTGGAACGCTTGAAAGAGCAGCGCGAGCTGCGCCGGGCATTCCAGGCCGAGAAGCGCCTTCAGATGAGCGCTCAGCGGCGCCAGGACCCGGGCAACCCCAACTGGGAGGTCTCCATGATGCTGGGAAAGTATCGCGAGACCATGACCTTCAATCCGCTGCGCAGCCTTGACCCCAACGGAGCTGCTATTCAACAGATTACGGTGTGCGTGCGAAAGCGCCCGATGAGCCGGCGGGAGCTAAAGATGAGAAACGTGGACATTATCTCAGTGCCCACCCATGACTCGCTGATCGTGCACGAGCTCCGCCACAAGGTGGACCTGACCAAGTTCCTGGAGCACCACCGCTTCCGCTTCGACTACACATTCGACGAGCAGTGCTCTAACGCCCTGGTGTACGACCACACGGCCCGTCCCCTGATCCGGACCATGTTCGAGGGCGGCAACGCCACGTGCTTCGCTTACGGCCAGACCGGCAGCGGCAAGACCCACACCATGGGCGGCGAATTTTGCGGCAAGGTGCAGGACTGCCGAGGCGGGATCTACGCCATGGCCGCCCGGGACGTCTTCGAGGAGGTGTCGCGGCCAGAGTACCGCCAGATGGGCGCCAAGATCACGTGCAGCTTTTTTGAGATCTACGGCTCGAAGGTGTTCGACCTCCTCCACCCGGGCAAGCCGCTGCTTCGCGTGCTGGAGGACGGGCGCCAGCAGGTGGTAGTAGTGGGGCTAACGGAGATGCCGGTCACCAAAGTGGAGGACGTCCTGCATCTGATTGAGGTCGGCAACCGGGAGCGTACCTCAGGCCAGACCTCGGCCAACGCCAAGTCCTCCCGCTCGCACGCCGTCTTCCAGATGGCCCTGCACCTGCCCGACTCCTGGGGCCCCTTCGGCAAGTGCTCCTTTGTGGACTTGGCCGGGAACGAGCGCGGCGCAGATACTCAATCCGCGGACCGCCAAACCCGGATTGAGGGCGCCGACATCAACAGGTCCTTGCTGGCCCTAAAGGAGTGCATTCGCGCCCTCAGCCGGCAATGCCACCACTTGCCATTCCGCGGCTCCAAGCTGACCCAGGTGCTGCGCGACTCCTTTATCGGCGGCAAGAAAAACCGCACCTGCATGATAGCCATGATCTCGCCGGCCCTGACCTGCGTGGAGAACACCCTTAACACCCTCCGCTACGCGGACCGCGTCAAGGAACTTGTGGCCAGCAAGGGGGACGACGGCCAGCTCGCCGCAGACGGAGACGACCAGGGAGTATCTTCAGAGCCGGAGATATCCGAGGAAGAGCAGTCCCCAAAGGAGGCCAGCGGCTCCTTTTCGCCATGCTCCATGAGCGACCTGGAGCTTAGCCACTCGATAACGCAGCTGGAGAAAAGCCAGGAGGGCCAATTCCAATCCAAGTCAGAGTTGCTGGATCTGCAGCAGGTGGCCGAGCAGTGCGGAGCCCTGGTGGACTACCTCGAGGATTTTACGCGCCGCTACCGGGATATGGAGACAAAAGACGAGTACCCAGCCTTCCTCCTTTCCGCTTCCACCCACTTCGATGAGATGTATAGCATGGTGAGCCTCACAAAAAAGATGGTGGACAACTGCAACATCCAGAAGGTGCTGCCAGAAACCATCTTGGAAGAGGACTGCGCTAAGAAACATCCGGATTCGGAGGACGGGCCGGACGAGGAGGACATCGAGGAGGAGCAGGAGCTCGAGATGCAGATTTGAGGACTCATCCCCGCTCGGGCCGCCACCCAGAACCAGCCGTTGTGCCTATTTATTTTATACCTCACTTGTCTCTTTTCTTTTACGAGTTTTGGGACTCAAATTCCGATTCAATAAACAAGCAGTTCATGAAAATCAACTACGTCTCTGCGGCTAGTTTCCTTCCATCGCTCAGGTTTCACTTTTCAACTCGCCGAGGGGGCAGGGTGAACTTTTGTTGCCACATTCTTGTGTGGCTTCCTCCTGGCCTGGAGAGCCAACTTTCTCCGATACAGATTTATGGCCGGCCGAAGAGTAATCAACAACAGGGACGAACAAAGAACAGACTCGTTAACTTGGTTAGCAGTCAGTATACCTGGCATCATGTGTGACCTGGTCCTAGACCTGGTTGCCACAAAAAGTGCCAAACTTTTGGCGCAATAAAGCAATAACCGGAGAAGTCATTCCCGGTCTTGGGGAATAGGCAGATGCTTTGAAATAATTTGAAGAGGACGTTTCTTTTCTGTTTAGTAGCATTAGCTTCATTTTGCCTTTATTGGAAGCCTCTCAATAGAGATTTAAGAAAGATTTTTGCCATCGGAGTTAACGCACAGGTCCTCGTAGGTCGCTACGTCGGTGGACAGGGGTTCGAAGGTGCGCCACAGCTCGTCAAAGGCATGCTGGTATAGGGCAATCGAATTTGGGTTGGAGCAGATGATGACGTTCTCGTAGTTGCTGGCGGTGCCCTGTTTGGTCCAGTTCAGGGACCCGGTCATCACCAGACTGCGGCAGCCCCACAAGCTAGTGACGGTCTTCTTCTTCTCCCTGTCCAGTTGGATAATGCGCTCCTGGCCGTCGAAGATCACGAACTTGTGGTGCATCATGGTACGGGAAGAGGCCACGCGCACGGGAATTCCCTGCGCCCAAAGGCGTTGGATCACGGAGCCGCGCACCGACAGCATCTGAGAGTCAGTGACGACGCGAATATTTACACCGCGTTTATAGGCTGCCACGACGGTATCGTAGATGCCACGGTGGGAGAAAGTGAGAAGCGCCAGGTCCATGCTGAACTTTGCCTGGTTGATGTAGTGGAAGATGCGGTTGGTGCGGCAGGACTCGCAGATCCTCTTGCGGCAGACGGGCTCCGCGTGAATCCCGGGGCTGCTGTTGGGCTGCTCGTTGAAGATCACCACGTCGTTCCACTCCGGCTGGCCGTAGACCCAAGTCCAGAGACTATGCAGCTTGACACTGCCCGAGTAGATGGCAGTCAGAATGAACGGCGGCAGCCACCTGTCCGCCAAGTCCCTCAGCCAATTCAACACGAGCTGCAGGAAACTGATGAGGAGGAGTGACTGCATTTGTTGGGGTTCTAGGAAAGAAATCGAGATGCTCACCACAGTTCCAGGAGGTCGAGGAAAGAATTAATGAAACACAACATCTTCTCAGGCGTAACTCTCAGGCAAAAAAACAACGACACGTCAAAGTGACAGTAGAAAAGTATGGCTGTAGGACTGTAGGACTGTGGCATTTTAGGACATGTGTCAAAAGCACAAGGGCACACTTTCTCCGATAATGAAACAATGCCTCAAAACGATTCTTCAGGACAATCGCCCTGTTAACTATCGCCTGGAATCTCATTACGAATATCTTGCAAATTGTTTACCGAGTCGTGAACTTCTGGAAATTCTTGCCGAACTTTAATGTGTCAACGCCGAGGATGACGATGATGAAGCCCAACCGCAAGCTGTAGACAATTTCCTGCCTCGGAGTCCTCCGCTTCTGCCAACTAAATGTAAAATCTTCCCCAGATGCTGGAAATTGCAGCTAATTCCGTGGAGGAACGGCTGTAAACTTTTACCCAACTTGCTGCCACACACACACCCATAGCACAGAGAGATCTCTCATTTGGAAAACTTTAAAATTAGTTAAGTTCGAGCTCAGATATCCAATAATGCAGCCCCGAAATGTGAACAAACAAATTCATCTGCGACTCCTCCTGGCCATACTTACATCTGAATGGATTGGTTTGGTTGAGTTTTAAGTTTGGTTTGGTCTGGGTTTTGGGGTTTCTGGTCTGGGTCTAGGGTCTGGGGCGCAGGGCATATATTTGCAACGAGATTTGCTTTGATGTGGTCTCGGATTTGTGGTGCATGTAGGTCTTGCCACACAGACACAAACTTGATCCGAAAACTTTCAATCAAATTAGCCCAATGGAACGCACGACGGAGGGGTATTATTACCAATATCAGCACAGAAGTCTTGCTGGAATTAAATTATTAATAAAAGTCGTGGAGTACCAACTGCGCCATGCAGTTCCATTTGGGTAACGACTCTTAATTATTTCTAGTCTGTCTAATGAGGAGCCTCGCCAGGAGTCCCCTCAAATACTTTGCGCTCATTGTCTGTTTAAACGGTTTATTTTTCGGCAGCACGGAGGGGAAAGTGAAAGTGCAGTCCTGAATTTTAACGAAAGCAGCAGCAGCAGCTGCGAGAGAAGTTAAAAGGACAATTTACCTCCTTGTTTCTCGTGCGGCACACCCATTCCCAGCTGCTTTTTCGTCCTGGCCCGGAATGCATGAAAGGGAAAAGCACAAAAACATTTCCACGTTTTCCTCAACTTTGTGGGGCGCTTCTAGTTGCCTTTCTTGGTCGCCTTTTCTTGTGGGTTTCGTTTTAAGCCGGGCCAGAAGCACTGCATGCCAAAGAATTTAAGAGGGCTGCCGGGGCAGGCTGGGGCCAGAGATGGTGGCTTGGTTTCAACTCGAAGCAAAACACTTAAGTTTTAACCCAAATTGTTGCCAACAAAGCGGTTTGTCTAACATTCTTTTTGAGAAAATTTTGTGAAAAAGTGTTTTCCGACAAGACACACACAAACGCAGCATGAAGGGTTTGTGTTTTTAGGAGCACACACAGACATACACACACACATGTATAAGCCGTGAACATCCAAAGAGTAAACAAGGATGCGATGGGCTAAGGGCCAGCCTTGGATCTGGCCCAAAGCTAAGTAACGCTAAGTTCAGCTAAGAAAAGGGGTTGCTGAAGGAGCCAGCCAGAGGCTAGCTCCTAGAGCTTGGGAATATCAATGAAGAAAAGAGTTCTTATGTGGGATTTGGACGGTCGTTCATTTGGTCAAGCAGGCTAGGAGCATTAGTGGTCAAAATAACTCATTTTTCCTAGAGAGACTATGATATTTTTTTCTAAAATTTAAGCTTACTTGCCTGACTTCTCCAATCGAATTAAAATAAAGGCCCACCAGCACTGGCTATTCAGATGCATCAGTCGTTTAGCCAGCTGGACGGTAGGATACCCCTCCTGCGGCACAACCCCTAACTTAGCCATAGTCTGATGTCTGGCCTGCCTGCCAGCGACATGTTGACCTTAAAAACTTGACGTGTTCAAATGTTGCAAAACAACTCGAGGGCTTTCGACTTGAGCACTTTTTCAGTTCTGCTCACTGTTCGCCGTTCACTGTTCGGCTCGCATTTGATGGTGCATCATGTGTGTGGCATGCCCCGCCCGCCTGCCCCCACAGTCTGTTTGACGCACATGAAGTGCCGCACTCGAAATATGCTTTTTTGCCTCCGGCCAAAGGGAAAACCGGGGCAGGTGTGGAAAATGTGTTTTGACAAGTGTCACTTATGCGTAGCTACTATGCAACGTGCAACATGCGGCCCTTTGCCCTTCGCCCTCTGGCGGTCGGTGGCTGTAATTGCAGGCGACTGGGGCTCACAGGGCGAATGAGCGATATGGGTGTCTGATCAATAGATGCACTTTGGAAGGATGTAATTAATTTTCAATAAAAGTAAAGAGAATTTGGCAATGAAAGCTGAAGAGCGCGTCTTTCTAATTATATTTAAATACACTTTTGATGACTGGGCCACAAGGTGAACCTCATCCACCCCGGGATAGGTAGTGAGTCTCAATAGGGCTTACCTCTGACCCTGTCCGCCACCTCTATTAAGTCCGCAGCCAATTGAAATAGCTGCTCCCAGTCGAGCTCTGGCAGGCACTCCACAAATTACCAAACAAAACCGAATCCCCCCATGGAGCCGGCAAGTTTAGAGCCAGCCCCTAGGCGGACGGACAGATAACTCGCTGCTCAGCCGGGGCATTTAATATGCGAACCTTTTCGTGCTTAAATTTCACAAATAGAGAAAGCTAGAGGGCGGGAGAAAGCGCGCCAGAGAAGCCATTCGGTTCTCCAGGGACCTTGCTATAAATATTAAAGCAAAGCGCCCGAATCCAGCGGCAGTGGCAGTGCAAGAGAATATTTAATATATATATTTTTTGATATGGATTTAAGGCCGGCGATTCCCTGGACAGGTCACCCATTCTAGAGGCTTCCATTAATATTTAGGCCACGTTAAAGAGTCGCGAAAACTTTAAAGAAAGCGCTCGCTAACCCCCAAACCACCTTGGCCCGCCAGACCACCAGTCGTTTGTCAGAGGGTTAAAGTTTGGCCCAAACTGGAGCAACGCTCTGTTAATTAGCATTTTGCCGCAATCAAGCGGGGTCTGCCTCCACTCCGGGCCACTCCACTCCACGCCACTGCCAAATGGCAATTGGAATGTAAACTGCGATAAATGCAAGGGTTTGCCATTTCGTATCTTGGCCATCTCCAGAGGAATTAGCGTGGCTATGGTAATGTGTAATTCAATTGCTCTTAATCATGAAATATTCTGGCTCTGTTCTGGTCTCTCCTGTGGGATTTCGCTTATTATTTTCATTTCGGAATGAATGGATGGAATTAAAGGAAATTAAATGTGAAATCCAAGGGTCTTATTCGGTCTCTTTTTCAGGAATTGTTTCTGTTTAGAGGCAGGGTTTGGTTACACACTTTAGAGTGTTAATGTCTTGTCTTGATGTAATTTGAAATTTCCAGCAAACTAGTTCCGGAAATTGCCACAACTTCAATAAATATAATTCTACCCGTTCGGGAATTAGCATAACAAACACTCCAAGTGTTCTGCATAGCTTTTCACACCTTTTTTTTCCTTTGCAGGTTGTTAGACTTTTTTCCGCAACGACATCCAGGTCAAATGCGTATAAATTCCAAACTGTTACGGGCCAAGACACAGGCCCACATTCCCGCAGAATGGGTGCCAACTGGTTAGTTTTGCCTTTGGGCCGCAAAATCAAAGCACGATGGAAATCGAGATCGAGAATGGCAAGCGCTTAGGAGCAATTACGAATTCCGGTTCTGTCATCCCCGGCTCTGTCGAGGCGGAAGTCATTATCGTGGCAAACAAAACCTATCCGCTGGAGATGGAGATGGAGGTGGGGGGGTCCTTGGGCCTCACCTCTCGCCAACTAGGCCCCCTGGCTAACCGCAGGAACAACAACTGTAACACGCCATTACATACATTTGCGACAACTTGGGTGGTTTCGGGTTTTCTGGCTTTGACTGCACGTGTGGCTATGGGTTTTGTCCTCATTATCGAGTTAATTATGTGTGTGTGTGACTGTCTTTGGCTCCAAGGGGGTAGAGGTAAACGGGTCCAAAGGTGTATGGGTGGCCAGAAGGTAATTACAGCAAGGCGTTCACTGTTGGCCAAATTCACTGTCGCAGGGCCATTGGGCCTTGTTCTTGGCTCCTGGTTTGTCATTGATTCTGCTCCGTATGCCTGGGTGGGCCTGCCTTGCCACCCAGCTTTCCACCTCTCGCTCCGATTGTAATTAATTTGCAAGGCGACTGCCCTAATGATGTGGTTCGTGGTCTATTTAAAGTGACGAATGCCTTCACACGGCAAGTATATCTTTTCCTACCCCTAAACAGACACTCCCCACTGGTCTATCTCGCATAAGGCCCGATCGGATAAGCTGGGAGGGATATAGCCAGGAAATATGTTAACCCATCATTTACACCAAGTAATCTGGAAGCTCGCATCGCATTCAAACCCAACTCACTGCTCTCGATCCTTAAGGTTAATTACATTTATCCAAAACGCAACTGACCCCGCAGGACATTGACTTAATTTCCCTGGCGCTGTTTTCCTTTTCGTTTTCTGGGTATTTTCATTTCTGTTGGCTCTTCCTGCCACTCTCCCAGTCCGGTTCTGTTTGCCTTTTAATTTTTTTAAACGCGTGCCAAATGGAAAAGCAGAGCCAGAAAAAATGCTGAAAGTCGAGGCCAAAACGCTGCCAGCAATTTCCTCTATCTAGCCCTGGATCCACCCACTCGCATCCTTAATTTTTCCTTTCTGGCGTAATGCTCGTTGAAGCGCCTAAATGGTAATTAAAAATTGTTGCATTGCCGCTCGAATGCGTCTGCTATTTATGTAGTTCGAGGCACTCTGGTGGGTATCTGGGTGGTATTTCGTGGATATCTGGTGGGTTTTTAAAGAATTTAAGCTTCGGTGGATTAGCAGACTCGCGTTTCAAAGAGAATATTTAATTCCTAGGTCACCCCGCTTTAAGAACTCGAATGTAGTTCAAGTAATGGCCTCTACTGGGTGAGCTCTGAAACAAAAACTTTTTATTCGTTTGCCGGAGAGGTGGAGTGCCTGTGCTCACGTATTGGCAGCACTTCCAACTTCTGG